CCCTGTCCCAACCCCTATCCAGAACTCTGCCCCCTGACAGCCCCCCCGGGACTCCCACCCCCATCCAACCACCCTCTGCTCCTTGTCCCCTGACCATCCCTGCCCTTAACTGTCCCCTGGGACTCCCACTCCCAACCCTCTCTGTTCCCCATCCCCTGACTGCCCCCCAGGCTCCCGCTCCCTTACCAGAAGCAGGAGCTTGCAGCCACAACACCCAGCCAGAGCCAGCTGCGCAGCCTGTGCAGCAGCATGGCTGTGGGGAAGGGGGGACAGCAGGGGAGGGGCTGGGTTCTAGGCTCCCCGGCCGGGAGCTCAGGGGCCGGGCAGGACGGTCCTGCGGGCCGGATGTAGCCTGTGGGCCGTAGTTTGCCCATGTCTGGGTTAGGCCCTGATTCAAAGTTCACAGTAGTTAATGGAAAGGCTCCCACTGGCTTTGGATCAGGCTCTTAAAGAGAATGAAGTTCAAGATAAATTACAGGTTATACTGGACTCCTTACCAGATTACACAAACTAAACTGAAGAGAGAACTTATGTTCAAAGATTCTTTAAGGAGGAAGGGATAGAATTAAGTAATTAGACATTCAAAAAAGTCTAGTATAAAAATTCTAGGATAATCTAATGATAAAGTAGATACCATATTACCTGATCTATGTACATTATATAAAAGTTATTTTCCATGACAGACCGAACAGTGGTGGCAAAAAAATCAATCAATCAATCCCCAGACTGTGGAAAGATGGCTCTCACTGATCAGCAGGTGAATGGAGGACATGAAAAAAAGTTACAGTATAGAAAATAGACTCCCTAGTTTTGATAAAATAATACCTAGGCACTCATACAACGCCATCTTTAACGATCAACTTCCTCTTGGCTCAGTGAAACGAGGGAGCCCCATGAACTGCTTCTGAAATTGATTCATTTTCCTTTTAACAATTCGCACAATAACGTTAATGGGATGTGGCTTGTTGCGCTAATATGCTACAACTTGAAAAACAAGCATCTCTGCCGTGGTATTGGCCCCTGAGGTACAAAGGCTCATTTTATCATCAATGCTTAAAAATTCTCACATTGAATAACTGCAGTACTAATTCTAAAGTGAAAGTTAATTAATTGCTACACCACTTTAACCAACAGACTGAGTTCTGAATTAAATTACTTCTGCACCATGTCTGGCCTTAGTCGTCTGGAGGAGACATGAAATGGAGTTTCCAACGCTTGTGAATGCTACTGGTCCCTTGACGCTTTTTGCGAGAGTAGGGATGTTAACCCCCGTGTCCTGGTCAAAACTCCAGTAGGGCAGTTAGATCCTGCCCCCATCTAAACTGTCCTGCAGAGTCAACTGGATATATGTGCTGCTCATTATATTCCCTTGAAATGAGAAGAGAAGGGGGGAATTTGTACCCAAAATACTACAATGATCTCTGATGTTACTCTGCCTCCTCATCCCCTCAGAGGGGTTAGATCTGCAACTTCAAAGAACTGGAAGGGTTTTGTGCCACTCAAGCTAGTGAAACATAGGCCCAGATCCTCAAAGGTATGTAGGTACCTAACTCCCCTTGAAATGAATGAGTTCAGTGCCTAAATCCCTTTGAGGATCGGAGCAGTAGTTTGACACCTGGCTGATCCATAACCACACAGAGCAGATGTCATTCCACACATCCCACCTGCTCTCCTTTAGCCTAGACAGCGTGACTAGCTCTTGAGCTGTACTGAGCAAGCACGTCCTTCTACACAGCGGAAGCGCTGGTTAACCAGCAATGAGATGCACAGCATCCTGATTCACAATCTCAACATTGCAATAGGCTTGGAGAAGAAAAGCTCCTGTAGGATTGGGAGAGGGCACAAACGTGGAGAGTCGCTGCTCCCCGGCTCATGGACCTACCACGGCG